TGGGGGTGAAGTTATGCCGGATGGAAGACTTACAGATCTGGCTCGGTGGGCAGAAACTCTCATGGCAGAATGTGGAACCTTTGTGGGGAGGGGGGTGGCTCTAAGGGGGGGAGGGGGTGGCATTTCAGGTTTGGGAGGCTCAAACTGAAAGGGGGAGATCTCAGCCTGGGGGTGGGTACCACACCTCTGGACTTTAAAGATATGGCACACAGACTCCTGCCCTCCAAGACAATTGTAATATAAGAGTTGTATTTTCTGTGTATATCTGTGCTGTGGAATCTCGTGTAAATTGAATTTCTCTTTTTTTTTTTCCTCTGACCGACGTTACAAGTTCTCTGTTAATTTAATAATGTATCCGTCCCCCACCCACCCCCTCTCCCCTGCACGCCCGTAATTTTCATTTGATGTTTATATTTTCTGCCTTCTGTTTTTTTTTAATGGTTTTTAAATTTTATTTTATTTACCGGGGAAGGGTGTGCTGGGGTGAGGGGCAAACCAAAGGGGGTTGTTTTGCATGAAGTGGGGGAGAAAAAAAATTCAATCTTGACAAAAAAAAAAAACCAACAACACCTTTCAGGCAGATTGTGAGGGGCAGACAGGAAGCTGAGGTACAGGAAGGGAAGTGCTTCTTCTGGTGTGTTCAGCGTCCTGTTTGCCTCAAGGTGAGGGGGGAGAGGAAGGGGCAGAAGCGGAGCGAGTGATAGGAAATGTTTAAAAAAAACCGACAAAAAAGAAAAAAAGTTTGAAAACATTGACCAGGATGTGCAGGTTTTTTGTTTCATTTGAGAACAAGGAGCTCTCTCGGGAGCGATGGCTGCAATAGACCCAGGCCAAAGGATCCCTGTTGCTATCAGTGAACCCTCAGAAGGCTTTCCTGAGAGTAAGCCCCATTGAAAAGACTTGAGTAGGCTTCTGAGTAGACCTGCTTAGGATTGGCATCTAAGATCCAAAACTGACTGGCCTTTGTGTGGATAATGAAAGCCACGTTATGGGGTCACCAACCAACTTCATTCTAGCAACAAGGGAGGCACTGTGTCCTACTGGGGTGATTCCCCTGGGGACACACACCAAAAGAAGACTTTGTAAACAGATCACCCTCTCCCACAATTCAGATTATCAGCCTGGTGTATCTGCTTTGAGTGGTTAGAGATGGTAGATCTTTCCCTCACCACTGCCACAGGCTTAGACACAGCCCAATGCTCCATCCCTGATCAAATTGCCAGCGCCGTGAAGGTGGTTTTTTTTAAATGCTCCACAGGAGATCCAGTCAGGGAATCTCTGACCACACATTCATCTCAGCCCTTTTAAAAGCCTGAGATTGTTTTCACCCCTTGGCATCACACCAAGAAACAGAGCACAGAAAAGGGCTTTGTAGCAAAGAGCTGGCTATGTTTTCGATGGCTCCCCTTTAATTCTGTGGAATCGTACTTGCACCATCAGCTGGACGTGCACGAGCTTAGCATGTGGAAAGTGCCAGGTTCCATCTCTGGCATCTCCAAATTAAAGGATCGCTGGTTGCAGGCGTTGGGGAAGACCATCTTCAACCCTGAAGAGCTGCTGCCATTCAGAACAGGACATACTGAACTAGGCGGACCTATGGTCTGACTGGTTTTCGCTGAGAAGATGTACAACTTTCTGTCTTATCCCGGACACTGAGTACCCTGGTGCACTCTGTGTACTGGGCTGATAAGCCACTGCTGTTCAGCTGGGAGGGTGTGAGTTAAAAGCACCAAACATAACAATGATACAGATCCTACTGCTCACCTTGACAGTGGCTGGCTGTGCTTTTGTGTCACGATCACAACAATGCTTCGCAACCACCAGGCTGTCTATAATATACAGGCCTCCCCCTCTGCGATTCCTTCCTTTCATCCTATTAGCAGTGGGCATTTTGCCAGCTTTGTTACAAAGAGAAATTAGCAAAGTCGTGTCTGCTGAAACCAGAGCCTTCCTCCCACATCCATATTGCAACATGCATGGTCTGGATATCATATACAAAGAGAATCAAGGCCTTTTTTTCGAGACATTATAGTCACATGTAGCAGGCACCCACCAATAGTGCACAGGGGGGAGCGTGCATTACCCACGATCTTTTCCATACATGAGTTCTCCATGATATGCAAACAGGAACAATGTGCATGTTTACTGTGAGCATACTACCTCGGTACATGCGAACACATCTCTGTATTTTTTCAGGGGTTGCTTGTAGTGAAGCTGTGCACCTATGGTGAATATGATATCAGGAGCATTGCGGATAACAGGCACTCCTAGTAGTTACAGCTGGTTAGTTCCCCGTATGCATGATTGTAACATCTGAAAAGGACTTAAGGTGGCAGCACAAGGCAGGCGTATGTTTCACACAGGTCCTGTTTATTAAATTCCAAACTAGCCACAGCCATTGCTGAAAACTGAGGCTGCTCTTGTACCCATGGGGTCTTTTTTCTTCATACAAATACAGGAGCACTGTTCAAAATAAGGGGCAAAGAAAGAGGAAATGCACAGCCCTTGATCATGGTCAAAAGATGAGAAATATGCATCGGGAAACATCACTGTTCATGGTTGCTGCATCACTGAAATGAACCAGTGCCCCTCTTGTGGGGAAGAAGGACACCAGCTGTGCACAGCACCAAGCAGGCCAAGATGTTCTCTCACGTGGCTTTTCAAATGACGGTAGTTTACTCCAGCACCAACCATCGAACACTTCAGTCCACATTGCCTCCACAAGAGATTGGCAGCAGTGCCCAGGGAGGGTGGATTTTGGGGAACTCCGAGGGGATGCAATGCCGTAAAGTCTGCCCTTGAAAGCTGCCTGTCCTTCCAGGAAAACAGATGTCTGAAGTTTGGTGTTTAGTCATGATTCCAGGAGAACTCTAGGCCTCACCTGGAGGCTTGGCAGAGCTAGCCTGGTTTTAGTAAGGGTCTGTGCTGCCTTGAAAACTATTTTTGCTCAGGAGGGCAGAAATCTTGAGTGATTAAGGATGGTACCGTGGCTCTGTGACAGAGTACTTGCTTTGCATGCGGGAGGTCCCGTGTTCAATCCCCAGCATCTTCAGTTCAAAGGGTTAGGTTGGAGGTGTCAAACATAAGGCCCGGGGGCCAGAACCAGCCCATCCAGGGCTCTTATGTGGCCCGTGAGCAACTAGTGCAAGGGAGGGAACAGGAGACTGCTCGAGGGGGGAGTGGGCGGAGCCACTCTGATTGTGGTTTCAGCATGGTGGAATAACCCCATCTGCAATAGTCAAGCAGCGTGGGAGCCTCTGCCCAGTGCAGCACCACTGGCTCTCCTGCCCACCCATATGGGATTTCCTTTGCGCACACACACCCTCCCAGCCTATGGGGCCTTGCAGAGAGGATACAACTCGGAGCTTACCAGCTGCTGTCCTTTATACAGTTTATATCTCTGGTACCTGGCATTATGTTTTATGGCACACATGGCCCAGCCTGACAAAGTGACATTTATGTTAGATCTGGCCCTCATAACAAATGAGTTTGACACCACTGGGTTAAATAGTAGGTGATGTGAAAGATCTTAGCTTGAGACCCTGGAGAGTTGCAGTCGGTCAGTGCAGACAGATCAGTGATCTGACCCAGTATAAGGCAGCCTCATGTGTTCATTTCCTGTTGGATCAGATCATCTACTCCAGTATCCTGTTTCCCACAGTGGCCAACTAGATCCCTTAGAATGAGCACACAGAAGCCAAAGCCTCCCCTTGTTGCCACTCTCCCAGCAGCTGATATTCTAAGGCACAGTGCCTCTGAATGTGGAGATTCCATTTAGCTATGCTTGGAGCTCTTTGTTGTTTGATCTGCTTCTAAACCCATCTAATCTTGTGGTCGTGAATTCCATGAGATAACGGCATGATTGTATTTTTTCTCTGTCCTGAATCTACTGCCCATCAGCTTCCCTGTGTGGCAGTATTATAGAAGAGGGAGAAAAAGTTTATTTTTATTTATTTATTATATTTAATTTATCGTCCCCCTTTCCCTGCAAACAGGGCTCAGGGCGGCTTACATCAGAAATAAATACAATAATATTGAGTTAAAACAGCATCAGAATAGTTTAAAAATCTGCCAAACACAACATTAACTCCAAGATGGCAGTACTTTTCACCAGCCCCTGGGTGGAGGGGATATGCTGAAAAAAGCCATCAGCCATACACTAAGGGAGTGCATTTTAGAATTAGAACTTTGGCACCCACTATTCAATTATATATAAGGAGAGATAACCCGCCCTCCCCGGAAGCGGGCTTAGGGCAGCTCACATTGCCTGGCAGCAGCTCACATTGTTCTCTCTATTCCCTTTCTCCACACAATGTGTAATATTATAAATGTCTATCATGTCCCCTTCCTCCTTGGTCATATTTTTCCTAATCTGAAACATCCCAAACTCTTTAGCTTTCTTTGTAAGAAAGGTGCTCCAAGCTCTTGATCACTTTTATTGTCTTTTCATACCACCAGGGGTCATTTCCTGCAGGAGCGCACAGGAGCAGAGCTCCGGCAGTAATGAGCCCAGGGGGCGGGCACATGCAACAAGCCCCGCCCCCTGCTCCTTCTCTCCCTTTCTTTCCCTCTTTTCCTCCTTCTTTTTCTTTCTTTCTTTTCCTCCTTTTCCCTTCTTTCTTTCTTTCTTTCCCTCCTTCTTTCCTTCTGTCCTTCTTTCCCTGTTTCCCTCCTTATTTCCGTCTCTTCCTCTTTCTTTTTCTCTTTCGCTCCTCATTTCTCTCTCTCTCTCTGGCACAGATCTGTGAGAGGGCAGATCTGTGCGCCGCCCCCCCCCCCCAGCAATCTAAAACAGTCCAACTTTAAGACCAAGTTTTATTCAGGTACAAGCTCTCCCTCCTCTGTGAGGGCAGATCTGCATGTCTGTTGCCCCCCCCCCCTAGCTAGCAATCCAAAACAGTCTAGTGGAGCTTGAGCGGTGGCTGTTGCCTTCTGACTTCCGGTGATGTCAGGGGGAGTGGCATATGCAAATAAGTTATGCTAGTGAGCTCCTGCACCTCTTTTTCTACAAAATGACCCCTGCATACCACTGTTATCCTTTAATAGGCAGCCACACTTCTGCAGGCTCATCTAGCAGTTATTTAATACTAAACTACCATAGTAAGGTATTGAGAAAGAGGACAGAATAACAGAAAATTAAGGAAGTAGACCTTACTACTTAACAGTACTGGCAGAGCTGAAGAGAGGAAAGCAAGCAGGGAAATGCTGCCGAAGGGGAGGCATGTGTGTATGGTGGGATGTCAGTCTTGTTTTTCTGTGAAAATGTTCTTATCCCCCTACCAGTTCACTACTTTCCCCATTAACATTGCCACTGAAAAGGTTTTAGATAAAGCAGCAACATGTGTCAGAAGCAAGAAAAAAAATTTATTCTCCAGGAAAACAAAACAAAAGCCATAGCTATAAATTAAAAATAAAAAAGGCAAACAGGGAGGAACATCCCTAACAAGAGTGAGGAAAGGAGATTTTGATTGGAGCTAAAGCAGGACATTCCCTAAGTGTGGGATCATAAGAAAACCATGAGGTTGAGTCCAAAGTTTTGGCCGCACTGGGCTTGCCCTGGAAGCAATAAACTTCAACAACCTCCCTGGTCAATTTTAAATTCAGTTGTACTGGGATTCATAATCAATGGCCATGTAAGAAAGGTGATTTACAACTGTTTATCAGCCTTTCTTGTGCCTTATAATATTTCTGTGTATTCACTTGAAGAGGAATTGCCACTGATCCCTGGCCAGACACGACTTATATTTCAGCTTCATTGCCTTCCCAGTTTGCCAGTTTGGTGTAGTGGTTAAGTGCTCGGACGCTAATCTGGGAGAACCGGGTTTGATTCCCCACTCCTCCACTTGCACCTGGCTGGATGACCTTGGGCAAGCCATAACTCTGGCACAGCTGTTCTTGAAAAAGAGCAGTTTCTGTCAAGAGTTCTCTCAGCCCCACCTCCCTCACAGGGTGTCTGTTGTGGGGAGGGGAAGGGAAAGGAGTTTGTAAGCCGCTCTGAGACACCTTTGGGTAGTGAAGGGCGGGGTATAAATCCAATCTCCTCCTCCTCCTTCCCACAATAAAGCAGTTTTCAATGTCCTGCTGATGGTTTAAAATCTGTAACTTGCAGCTCAGGGGGATATTGGCCGTGTTACAGAAGTCTCTGCTTCCTCATAAACGTTCAAATTATCCCACAGTCTCTTCAGCTAACTACATGTGATAGAAGGCCTGTTGCTCAGAAGCTCTAATGACCAAGCTCTAAACAACTGACTGGGTCAAGTTAGAACACAAAAGTGCTACCCAGAAGCTCACAAACATGAACCTCCCTTCCTCACCCCTAGCTAACCCTTGAGAGCCAAACTTCATATGATCAGTACTTTTGTGATTTTTGTCTTTCAGAGGAGGTTTTCTGGGTTATTTTTCATGACAAATAGGTGGAGGAGGCTGAAATCATCAGAGGAGGATTCGCTGAGGAAGAACTCCTTAACCCTTAGTTCCTCCTGCTCTTTGTGCACTAAGAATCACCCTTCCTGAGGGAAATATGGGAACCCCACTAGGGAACCCTTCATGTTTTCTCCACAGATAGGAAGCAATGTGAGAAGGGCAATTTTTAATGGACAACAGGTGAGAAAAGCTACTGCACAGGGAACCCCGTCTCTTTTCCCCCCATAGGAAGAAAAGCAGAGGTGAGGAGACATCTTGAGCAGACAAAATGGCAGGAAAGGGGGAAAATATTGTGGAGGGAGAATTACAAAATGGTTCACCATGTGTAGTTTGGCCCTAAAGGTTGTCACCTGCTCCCACCCACCCTTTATGGCCTCTTCACCGGGGGCGCTTCAATGCTCTTGCCGCTCAAAGATAGTGGCAAATGTCCTGAAAGAGAGAGAAGAAAGAGTTGAATGCCTGCTGTTAGTCTCCTTCCTCTTCTAAGTATAGGTTCGTGAGTAAATTCTGATCTCTCAAGTTCTGTATTTGGGCTTAATTGCATTTTTTTTGTTTATTCTTGTCTATGTTTGAATCTTGCGCTTCTTCCAAGGAACTCTTGAGTGTTGTAAATGGAATCTCCAGGTCTTTTCCCACATGCCAGACCTAGGCAGGCTTGCCCATAGTGATCTCATGATTGCCACTTAACATACTGAATGAGGGAACTGAGGGCTGGCAGAGAATTTAGTAGGTATGCTGTTGAAACAATATTTGAACTAAGGGTTTAAGTACCACATTTTTTATACAGAATATCTGTTGGCTCTTGGCTCTCCTCTGTCCACCAGCAGAAACTGTCCCACCAAATATGAATGGGAGGGATTTTTACAGCAAATGGTTTCTTTTTAGGATTAGGATTAACAGCCCCCATTACTGTGTATGGGTGTGAAAGCTGGACAATGAAGAATGCTGACAGGATGAAAATTAATTCATTCGAAATGTGGTCTTGGAGGAGAGTTTTACTGATACTGTGGACTAGCAGAAAGACACATAAATTGGTTCTAGACCAAATCAAGACTGAACTCTCCCTCAAAGCTAAAATGTCTAAGCCGAGGCTATCATACTTTGGTCACATCCAGGGTTCCCTCTAAGCCAGTTTGGTGTAGTGGTTAAGTGCACGGACTCTAATCTGGGAGAACCGGGTTTGATTCCCCACTCCTCCACTTGCATCTGCTGGATGACCTTGGGCAAGCCGTAGTTCTGATAAGAGCTGTTCTTGAAAAAGAACAGTCTCTGTCAGAGTTCTCTCAGCCTCACCTACCTCACAGGGTGTCTGTTGTGGGGAGGGGAAGGGAAAGGAGTTTGTAAGCCGCTCTGAGACACCTTTGAGTAGTGAAGGGCGGGGTATAAATCCAATCTTCTTCTTCTAAGATGAGTTAGTGTGAGCTAGCTCACAGTTTTTGAGCCTCCAGCGCACACATTTTTGTCTTAGGAAGGATGAATCCAGAGCAAACTAATTTATGCTGTTGCCAAATCGCTCGCTCACAACTTTAATGCCAGGAGCTCACAAAGTAGATTTTTTGCTCACAAGACTCCACAGCTTAGAGGGAGCATTGGTCACATCACGAGATGACAGGAGTCACTAGAAAAGACAATAATGCTAGGAAAAGTTGAAGGCAACAGGAAAAGAGGGAGACCCAGCATGAGATGGATCGAGTCAATGAGGAAGCCATGGTCCTCAATTTGAAAGACCTGAGCAAGGCTGTTAACAATAGGACTTTTCAGAAATCACTAATTCATAGGGTCACTGTAAATCAGAAGCTATTTGACTGCACTTAACACACACACACAGGATTAGACACTGAATGGGGTAGAATTTTGGTACTTACTGAAATAAGGCTCCTGATAACTCATCTACAATACTCCCTGCAAAAGATAAAATGGAACGAATCAGACTTTCGTTACTTCTAAGGTTAACAATACACCCTGCCCTGAGTATACATCTTCCCATTAGAAAAAGTCTGTGATCGTCTGCATAACATTGGTACTGCAACCTTCCCTCAGCCCAAGGCCTCCCAATGAATGTCATGGCTGAAGGAGGATTTGAACCCCTTCTTCCTTCTTTGGTTCAAGACTGGCACTTCGGCTTGGTTCAAAAATAACATGAAGCCATGGTTTGGTCTAACCCCGATTAGCTTGGAACAAAAATTAAGATTTGGCCCACAAATGATCATTCAAATCCTGGTTTGCCTCAAAAAATGTTAATTCCACTACCTTTGTCTACCTCTTGCCTCAAAAAATGTTAATTCCACTACCTCAGTCTGTGGGTGCATTCAGACGGGGGCTTTACAACGGAATAGGTGCCGGTTCCAACCGGTGTACTTACCGGCGTTCAGACGGCGAACATCTGCCTCCCGTCCCTAAAAGTTGTAAAGCCCTTTAAACCGTTGTACTCTGCCACTAGGTCCCCAAGTGGTGGTATCCTGAGTACAACGGTTGCTATCGATGTACCCCTCCGTCTGATCGCTCTCCACCGGTGTCTAGCCACTTCCATTCGGAAGCCTGAGGCTTCCGATTTTCCCCCGCCATTTTTTTTAACTACGCGATATGCGCTTGGGCGAAGCTTTGCCCTGAGCGGTTTTTTTTTTTTTAAGCCCTTAGTGTAGCGTTTCGGAGGAGTCTGGGACTACAGGGAGGCCAGTTTGGTCTTTAAACTTTAAAGGTAAGTCCTTACCTTTAAAGTTTAAATGTAATATGGGGTGTTTTGAGCAGGCGCAAAGATCGCCATTCTGTGAATGGCTGCCTATGCGCATACTCAAACTGAGTTAAAAAAAAAAAAGCCAACGCCTGCAACGTGTGAGCGGGCATACAGCGATGGGATCCGCAAAAGGGAGGTGAGTGTGATCGCATTTCAGCCGGCATAAACTGCACCGGTTCCAACCGGTACAGTTTATGCCGGCTGAAACGCCACGTCTGAACACACCCCGAGACACCCAGATGGTATTCCAGGTTCCATGCAGGGCTGGTCCCAGGTTTTGAAGGGCCCTCACCAGGCCACTACTGGCACCCCCCTTCCCTCTCCCCTGTCTACCTAAGTGTCCTTCTGCCTGCAAACCTTTCCCACATGACCTTTCTCTTATAGCACTGGGCAGCATAGACTGGGCAGAGCAAAAACAAACCAACCCACCACCACTTTGCACCACCTATACACTCTTCCCTAAAGATGCTCAGTAGTGAGTGTGGCAGGGAGCATGGGCAGTGAAGCATCAAGCAGAAGACAGGGGGAAGGGCACACAGGCAGTTGGCAGGACAGGCATGTGATCAGCTCTCAGCCCTGGCACCTGCCCCGCTTCAGGGTATGCTCATGCTGGCCTTGCCCCATTGTGATGAGGGCAATGTGAGGATGTCTGCATTTGCGCATTTACTTATGGGAGGGGAATTTGCACATAATTTCCTTTTTGCACATTTATTTATGGGAGGGGCTGTGGCTCAGTGGTAGCGCATCTGCTTGGCCCCCAAGAGCACTTCGGTCCAGGGCACAACATCGCCTGGTGGTTCCAGGCCCCTGGGAGGCAAGGCTCGCCACGACTAGGACCAGATCCTTTTCAGTGGTGGCCCCTACCTGGTGGAACGAGCTCCCGGAGAAGATCAGGGCCCTGCGGGACCTTATGCAGTTCTGCAGGGCCTGTAAGACAGAGCTCTTCCGCCAGGCTTTCACATAGGGGCCACCACTACCACCGCCACCAATGAGGTGGACAACATCGGGGTTAAGGATGGCCCAGGAAGATCTGCCACTATTTCTGCGTGGCCACTGGATTTACCTGGTTGAGCTATAGGATAACATCACCCTGGAGAATCATCCGGAGACCATCTTGTTAAATTGGGTATAATTTTTATTAATTGTCATTAATGTTTTATTGCTTTTATCTGTTTTATATGGGCTTTGCCCCTTGTAAGCCGCCCTGAGCCCGCTCTGCGGGGAGGGCGGGGTATAAATCTTAATAAATAAAACAAACAAATAAATAAACAGAAGGTCCCAGGATCAATCCCCAGCCCCTACAGTTAAAAGGGCCAGGTGGCTCAGAGATGATGAGAAAGACCACTGCCTGAGGCCCTGGAGAGCTGCTGCCAGTCTGAGTAGATAGTACTGACCTCGATGGACCAAGGCTCTGATTCAGTATAAGGCAGATTCATGTGTCATTTAGAACTTGCCTTTCCCCCCAATGGGGACACAGAGGCTTACATCATTCTCCTCCCCTCCATTTTATCATTGCAACACTTTGAGGCAGGTTAGGCTGAAAGAGAGCGAATGGCGCAAGGTCACCCAGCAAGCGTCCATAGCGGAGTTGGGATTTGAACCTGGGTCATTATTTTCTTTTCGTAAATCGTTTAGCATGGTTTGGATCAACAAGCAGGGTACTGAGCGAAAAAAGAAAAAACTCACCAGGTGTACAGGCCGTCTCACACACGGGACAAACGTAACAGTAATGGCAGTACTGTAAGAAAGGGAAGAATATGGGAGAGGGCAGAGTGAGTTGCTGAAAGGGCACTGCTGTGATACCATCCACAGAAACAAGGAGGGATGGAATCATTTAGGGTTGCCAGGTCCCCCCCTGGCCTCCGGTAGGGGATGTGGGGGGTAGGGTTGCCAGATCCAAGTTGGGAACTCCTGGAGATTTGGGGATGGAGCCAGGGGAGGATAAGGACCTCAGTGGGGTACAATGCCTTAGAGTCCACCCTCCAAAGCAGCCATTTTCTCCAGGGGAAATGATCTCTGCAGTCTGGAGCTGAGCTGTCATTCCAAGGGATCCCCAGGTCTTGCCTGGAGGCTGGCATCCCTAGGTTGGATCCAGACAGCCTTTTTGCTCAATCTCACCCAATTCATCTTCTTACTATAGCCCCCAGTCCCATGCAGCTTACGTCCATACAGGTCTCAGGATCCTCAGCACAGCCTTTTTGCATGGTCGAAAGAGTCATTTTCACCAGCAGAAAAGCTTGTTGGATCCACCCTAGTGGCACACCTTTTTTTTCTTCCAGGGGAGGGAACAATTGTAGCAGGGGGGGCTTGCAACACAAACCTGGCAGCTTCCACAAAATTCTCTGCGGTCTCCTTCTTTACAGGGACACTTATCACATTCATCGCAATGCTGGATGGGGGAAAAAAAAGAGACAGGCGTGCATGAGAGAGAGATAATTTTTACCACACTAGAGCTCTTCAGGCTTGCACAGTTCTAAAGCAGTAGCCATGTTAGTCTGTTGCAGTAAAGCCAGACAGGAATCTATTGGCACCTGGAAGATCAAAATGTGGTTCATCTTTGTGGTGCCCCTGTCTATTCCGGGCTTCCTGTTGGCCTCCAAATGCCAACAAAGTGGGGTTGCCAGTTTTGGAGATTTTGGGGGTGGAGCCTGAGGAGAGCAGGATTTGGGGAGGGACTTCAATGGGGTACAATCCCATAGAGTCCACCTTCCAAATCAGACATTTTCTCCAGGTTAACCGATCTCTGTTACCTGGAGATCAGTTGTAATCCCAGGAGATCTCCAGCCATCAGTTGGAGGTCAGCAGCCCTACAACAAAGTCACTCTGCATAATACAGAGCAGGTACTTCAGTAATGTGTAATCTTTCCCAACCCCCCAACCCCTTTAGCCACCCCACCCCCAACCTCCCTGAGAATTTTTGTGTAGCCCAGTTTGTGGTGGAATGTGCCTGCTCTGGCCTGCAGGCCCTATTCCGCCCTGCCCTCCTATGGGTTCCCAACTCCCTAGAGGGTCTTTTCTTCCACTCCCAGGTAGCCCACCACCAGCACCTGATTGTTGCTGGGATTTCCCATTGAGAGGATCAGGACTCCCAGTTTTCCTTCCAAGTTCAGAGGCCCTGCCTCAGTGGCTCCCTCTGCCCAGTGCCAGGTCACTGCAGGGACAGATTAATGCCTTGGGCACCCTTGAAGGAATAGCCGCTTGCCAAATGCCTGCCATCCCTTTGGCTTCCCTCTTCAGATAGTGGGTTCAAGATGGTGGAGGACTATGTGGTACAGAGAACTGTTCCCAGCTTAAAAAGTTATAAAGTATATATTAAAAAGAAAATGTTAACAAGCATACTTTTAGCATAGCAACAGATTGAGCAAGAATACAAAAAAAAATATGGTAAAAATGCAAATCCTCTGTCCCTTTCTCTATACATGCCCTATGAGCTATTAAAATATAGAGCGGGCTCTTTAGCTTAAATGTTCTAGTTCTCTACAGAGTTACCATTACCTTAAAGCTTGCTCTTGCTCTTCCAGGTGAACATATGGCCAATGACTGCTTGCTTATAGCCCTTGGCTAAGAGTTCACACAAATGCAGCATCCCAAAGAAAGAGAGCGATCCTTCCTGCAGCAAGGAGTTTTTATCGCCTCTCTGTCCCCTCCCATTTGACCAGGTCTTTGTGGTCAAGGAATCTTTTCCTGTTGTCTCCAGAAAGTTCCTTCCTCAAACCTCTCCAGAATTTAACACCCCCAACTCTCTGCTCCCTTCCTGAAGAAGAGGGGGAGAAGGGGCAAATGTGACCATCCCTAGACCCATTAGCATTTGGATGAAGGCAGGCTGAGGTACAAGCGAATCTCCTCTGCCTAGAGGAAAAAAACCCTGTTAAAACACAAGGTGGAGGCTTTGCTCCTTGCCAGCCGCTCAGGATAAAATGCATTTCTTCACACAGTTCACATCAAGTTGTCCCTTAAAACATTCTAAGTTCATGAGCAGGGTTGCCTGACTACAGCCCAGACATATCTGTGCACATTTCAGTTCACTGCTGAGTTGAGAGCAGTGTTCCCTCTAAGCTGAGTTAGAGCGAGCTAACTCACAGTTTTTTAGCCTCCGGCTCACACATTTTTGTCTTAGCTCAGGAAGGACGGCTCCAGAGCAAACAAATTTATGCAGTAGCCAAATCACTTGCTCACAACTATAAAGCCAGTAGCTCACAAAATAGAATTTTTGCTCACAAGACTCCACAGCTTAGAGGGAACATTGGTTGAGAGACCAGGCAAAACACACTTCTCCTGTTTCTCTTTTACCATTTGTCTTCCCTCATCAGCTCTAGCAACACCACACAGCAGGCAAGAGAAAAGTGGACAAAAGGCACAGGGAAGGGGCAGGAGAAGCTACAGGTTGATCTTCTGTGTGCAAAAAGTGCCATTTAGTTGGAGACGACTTATGGGAACCCCATAGGGTTTTCAAGGCAAGAGACTAACAGGGGTGTTTTGGCATCGCCTTCCTCTGCATAGTGACCCTGGACTTCCTTGATGGTCTCCCATCCAAATACTAACCAGGGACAACCCCACTTAGCTTCCAAGTCCTGACAAAATCAGGCTAGCCTGGGCCATCTAGGTCAGGGCACAGCTTGATCTTAGCAGTGAATTTAAAAGCACATGAGGAATCGCCAAGTTGCAGTTCGGCAACCCCAGCAACAGGAGAGAATGCCGCTACACCAGTCTTCACACTCATCATCCTTGAGGAAGGTAGCAAGGCAAAAGAGTTGGTGGAGAAATAAGACGGAAGGCACATGGGGCTACATGCAATCTTGTAATGTTTAAAGGGACATGCGCTATTGGGAAGTTGTCATCTGGCAGCCCTACAGTTATTTTGTAGAATCCTAGAATCTCAGAGTTGGAATGGGCCATACAGGCCATCTATTCCAACCCCCTGCTCGGTGCAGGATCAGCCTAGAGCATCCCTGACAACTGTTTGTCCAGCCGCTGCTTAAAGACTGTCAATGAGGGGGAGCTCACCACCTTCCTAGGTAGCTGATTCCACTGTTGAACAACTCTTACTGTCAAAAAGATTTCCCTAATATCCAGTGTCTTTTCCCCATTCCTAAGTGTCCAAAGTTCTAGGCTTTCCTGTTTTATTTACTGGAAGTTTCTTCACATCACTGGCCCTGAGAAAAGTTGTAACTGTTTTGTTTCTGACAGCTGTTTATAATGCAGTGGCCCTACCAATGAAAACAACTGGCAAACTCATGCACTCCAGGCCCCAATCTATTTGTTGATATCCCAGTGTTCTCCCCGGTGGGAACCCAAAGTGGCTTACAACATCATCCTCCATTTTATCTTCACAACAGCCCTGTGAGGTAAGTTAGCCAGGAAAGTCAGTGGCACAAAGTCACTCAGCAAGCTTCCATGGCAGAATGGGGATTTGCACCTGGGCCTCCTAGATCCTAACCCAACACCTCGCTGGCTGTCTCTATCGCTCTCTTCCAACCTGATCTTCTTTAATCACAAGTGGTTTATGACTGCATTCTTGCTTTTACTACTACTGAAAGGACCACAGTTGCTCCTTTTAGACCACATGGAAGAGGCTGACGTACAGAAAGACAGTAGCCACTCTCTTATCTCCTTCTTGGAGAGTAGAGGTGGTGACTCAAAGTCACTTTCCTGCTAATAATGGGAGATCTTTCAGACAAGTCTTTCAGCAACAACTAAGCTGAATTTGGATCCCAGCTATCAATGGGATTCTATACCCCTGTGTACAATGGAACAGAGAGATAGTCACAAGCACAAGTGGTTTTAAAAGGCATATTCCTGGAGGTCAGGTCCATCAATAGCAATTATCTACACTGGTCTAAATGGGATCTTCAGATGCATTATACCACTGAATACTAGTCCCTGCGTAGGGGAAACAACAGGTGAAAGTTTTGATCTCTCTGCTCTACTTGCAGGTCTTCTGGGGCAGCTGATTGGTCACTATGTGAAGCAGGATGCTAGACGAGATGGACCATCAGTCTGATCCACCACAGCTGCTTTAATATTCTTAAGGGCTGCCATTTTTATTGGCTTTCTTCCTATAGTTTTAGGTGCAGCCAAGCATGGGGAAATCAAATAGGTGAAGCTTTACCAGACATGGAGAGACATTGGTTGAAAACATTTATCTTGGCCTTTCAGAGTAATGTAAAAGCAGAGAAGTGGGGCTAGCAAAACACATGCACAATTATCAACCATTGTCTGACTCCGGGCAACAGAAATCAGTGGGTTGTCATGTGGCCTGAAGAAAAATGGCTTTTCTGTTTAATAGAAGCTTAATAGGAGGGTATTTACCCTGTGACGTTATTTACCTCTATGCCATGAAAAACTTCAGCTGCCCGTTTCCACGCCTCTATTAAAGGGTCAGGACATTTTCTTCAGGCCGAATGTGATATGGATGGGGAAATGTTTAATGTAGACTGTGGCTACACAAGAGCGAAATGCATTAAGTACTCTGCTATTTTCTGTAAGGGCCTCATTCCTGTCCTGTTCACATATATTGCAATGCACATATTGATGGCCAAAACTAGAAGAACAGTTACGTATTCCTAATTAAAAAGGAGTGTATATACTCCCATCTCCTCTGGTTTGTCTCTGGCCCCGGTCACACGGGAGGTTTTGCCCTGCAAGAGGGACAGATCGGGTGCGCATCAAACGGGCGTGATCACATCGCAACATCTGGGAAGCGGAACGCACCCGTCCCCAATCCGTCCTTTCCGGGGGGAAACGCGCATTAAAAAAACCCTAGAAAGAATACTACCTACCTGAAGCTCTGCAGCAAGGGTGGCCGTGGGATTGCCGGCGCGCCCTTCTTCCGCAGCATTCGAGGCTCCCGGCCAACCTGCGCATGCGCGCACATGCACAGCCAGCTGCCTCGCTCTCCGTCCCATGGCTTTCCCCCCCGGCATCTGATCATGCTGGGGAACAACTGTGCGGCGGCTCGTGGGATCTGTCTGATCCCCCTGCCGCGCATCTATTTTGCTGCGGCTCAGAAAAGCTGCGCTTTGTTCGCCGTGCTCCCCCCCCCCCTGTGACCGGGGCCTCTATAGACTATAGTGACAGGAAACAGGATTAAGACAAGCTAAGGATCGGATTTTTAGGTTCAGAATTTATCATCAGACTTCCCGTTGTTTTGATTTTCACTTAAAAGCAACGGAGGGTGGGTGTGTGGATTAGTCCAGTGGCACTGAGTGGAGGGCATTTAATGCTTCCACTCCATGCAATTATGCAATTTTCCTGGTCTAAGTTGCACCCCCCACTTTCCTCCTTCATTGCAAATAGCAGCTTCAAGTGGACAATTCTGATTTGGAAAATGGTGCAGAGGAAAACACCCTCTCCCCCAGTGCTGCTGCTCCAGTTCTATTACCTCCTTCTTTTGGCCACTTGCTTTTAAAAATAACAATCAAAACATTAGGAGATGCAACCACAGATCTGCCGTGTAACAGTTTATTTGACCATTGTCCAAACAGAAGCTTGAAAGGAGAAGAGAGTAGCATGGGCAGGGTAGGGAAGGGCGCACAGAAAATATGCAGCACAGTGCTAGAATGTTTGGAATGAGCATGCTTGCGCTGCAGTAAAATATGCAAAACCAGACAGACTCTCACCAAAGGAAGAACATAACTGAAAAAGCCACAGCATAGCTAAGCTTTGTTGGTGTCAGAGATTGGGGCTGAATTCCCTCTCTCCATCAAGGATCTAAATAAAATGGGGGAATCTTCTGAAATTTGGTTCCAGGGAGAGGTATTGAGGAGGCAGGTATGCCTGACCCAGAAAGAGCGCAGAGAGGCATCACAATATAAATCAACCAACCACTGGACTTGAACATGAATGGATAAAGGTATGAGTCATGCATCTCTCATGAGCAGGCACCCTAGCTTTCAACAATAGTCTGTTCCGCCAAGCAAAGTCCACTGGAATTCCCTTTCCTTACCTTGCAGAATTTGCAATAGTGGCAAAGAGAGCCCTCTTCATACTCCTCATCATCTTCATCATCATCGTCTTCTGCAGTAGAAAGGAGAGACGCAGCTATAGTCAACAGTTTTGTAATGGGGCAACTGGAAGATATGTAGGCCTAGAAGGTGAGAGCTGGAGAGGGTGGGGTGGGCTACTAAGTTCACAAAGAGTGTTTGAAGAGAAGATGGGGTTTTTACGTAGCTCTATGGAGCCTTGTCAGTAAAAAGTTAGGAAGTAGGTTCTCACAATCAATAGTGTTTATGGGAAGAGAAGCCAACTGAAGCCACAATGTGTTGGCGACATGAGGGGAACTTAGTCGGCCAGAGCAGGGGATGCTGGGAGTCAGGATGTCTAGCTTTTACCCTAATGAAAATAAACACTTTCCCATCACATCACATCTGCTTGCCCTCAAAAATAACACTGGGTTTCTCTCACCTTCTTTGCCTTTGCGGTGCTTCTTGACTTTCTCACGGCCTTCATGTTTGCGATGCTTTTCCTTATGCCTTTCCTCCTCCTCCTCGTCATCATCATCTTCCTTATCAGCACGGCGATGATGGTGGTGTTTTTTATCCTTATTATTGTTTTTTTTGTGATGATGTCCACCATGGTGATGGTGTCCATGGGCTTTTTCATCATCGTCGTCATCGTCGTCGTCGTCATCGTCGTCGTCATCATCCTTTTTTTTATGATGGTGTTGACTGTGATGTTTATGATGGTGGTGCTTGTCATCATCGTCATCATCGTCGTCATCGTCATCATCGTCATCATCATTGTCATCATGACTGTGGTGGTGATGGTGGTTACCATGATGTCCATGAGGGTGGTGATGATGCTCATGTTCATCATCATCATCATCATCGTCGTCGTCATCATCATCATCATGATGGTGATGGTGGTCACTGTGATGTTTATGACTATGATGTTCTTTATCATCGTCATCATCATCATCATCGTGGTGATGGTGGTCACTGTGATGTTTATGAGCATGATGTTCTTTATCATCGTCGTCGTCATCATCATCATCATCATCGTTGTGGTCACCATGAGGATTATGATGGTGGTGTTCATGGTGGTGATGGTGGTTACCATGATGTTTATGAGGGTGGTGATGATGTTCATCTTCGTCATCGTCGTCATCATCGTCATCATCATTGTCATCATGACTGTGGTGGTGATGGTGGTTACCATGATGTTTATGAGGGTGGTGATGATGTTCATCTTCGTCATCGTCGTCATCATCGTCATCATCATCATCATCATGACTGTGGTGGTGATGGTGGTTACCATGATGTTTATGAGGGTGGTGATGATGTTCATCTTTGTCATCGTCTTCGTCGTCATCATCATCATCGTCATCATCATCATCATGATTGTGGTGGTGATGGTGGTTACCATGATGTCCATGAGGGTGGTGATGATGCTCATGTTCATCATCATCATCATCATCGTCGTCGTCATCATCATCATCATGATGGTGATGGTGGTCACTGTGATGTTTATGACTATGATGTTCTTTATCATCGTCATCGTCATCATCATCATCATCATCGTGGTGGTGGTGGTGATGGTGGTCACTGTGATGTTTATGAGCATGATGTTCTTTATCATCGTCGTCGTCATCATCATCATCATCATCGTTGTGGTCACCATGAGGATTATGATGGTGGTGTTCATGGTGGTGATGGTGGTTACCATGATGTTCATGAGCGTGATGTTCCTTGTCGTCGTCGTCATCATCATCATCTTTATGTTCATGGTGGTGGTCATGATACTTATGATGCTGGTGTTCGTCGTCGTCATCATCATCATCTTCGTGGTGGTGAGGGTGGGGGTGGTGATGATGATCACCATGGTGTTCCGGATGGTGGTGTCTGTCGTCGTCATGATCATGGTGATGGTGGTGACCGGGGTGTTCATGATGGTCATGGTGGTGTTTACTTTCTTCATCGCTGTCATCGTCATCATCATCATCATGATGGTGGTGATGGCTGGCATGATGTTCATGGTGGTCCTTGTCATCGTCATCATCATCATCGTCATCATCATGATGGACAGTGGGATAGTGATGGTGATCCCCATAGTGAAGTTCATGATGGTGATGATGGTGATCATCATCATCATCATCATCATCATGGTGAGGAGGGTGACTTCCTTGATGATGTTCTGCTTCATGATGGTGAGTAGCATGGCCATCTTTGTCATCATCATCGTGCTGATGGTGTTGCTTGTGATGATGGTGTTCATCCTCATGGTGGTCGGTATGATGCTCTACATCTCCATGGTGATGGTGTTGATCATGGTGGTGGTGCTGCTGTTGCTCCTCTCCCTGTGCTCTGGGGAGCGGAAATGAGCACAGCAAGATGAGAAAGAAGCCTAGCACCCAGGCCTTCCAAGAAGCCATGGCAGAAGAGACGATACGGGAGCAACAGAGTTTGCGCCCAGAAATCTCAGTAAAGTTTCAAGAACAAGCAAGAAGGAAAGGCAGGCAGCACAGAAAGAGAACTAAGGGGTGCACTATACACTTTCCAGCCCAGGGTTTGTGTGAGCGACGTCTGCAGCTGGCTTAGATTACCCTTCAGTCTCTAGCCAATGGCTCCCCAGCTCAGCCTCCAAGATAGATGAGAAAACTGAGCCATGGGCCCTGCCATGCCCTTATATGAGGTGGCTGGGTTGGAGGGGGTGGGGAGGAGAAGAGAGGGAGCTAAGCTGTTTGCCATAGTGCCAGGCTATTATTAGCTGTCAGAAGCAACTGCATCTCACTCCCTTCAAATGACAGAGAAGCCAGCAGAGAGAAATAGGAACCAACCTCCTGGGTTCTCTGAGAATTTGGGGGTTGGTGGTCTTGCGGATAAGGGGAGGGAAGACTGATGCATCGAAGTTAGAGCAAGAAGAACCTGGACTGCCCTATTTCCTGTAAGGGGCAGGATACTTACAGTACAGTCATAAGTAGAGTTACACCCTTCTTTGCCTATTGACTTCAGTGGCTTCAGAAGTGTGTAACTCTATTCAGGATTGCGCTGTTAGTAGATGATATTTGGATGTTATTAAAATGGACTGGCTGGACATTTGGGTGGGAGAATCGCCCATGAGTTTTGTTTATTCGACTGACCCTTTGCTTGTTTTAATTGTTAACTTTGGTTTGTTTGTTTTTATAGTTCACTTTAAATGTTGGGGAATGAGTGATCTTAACTACTCAGCCACTGCAATAACAAAATCAGTAACGCTGCTGGTTAAAGCAGGGCTCACTGGAAGACACAATTGGTGGGTGTGGTGAACTTTGTCAAAGCAGAAGGATAGGTGACTGATGAAAGCTCTGGGATTTGAGGCCAAACTGATCACTTCTGGGTTCTGAGAGGGAACTGAAAGGGTCAGGAGTGAGGGGGGATGTTTCTGAGTGTTTTATAAAAAGTACGAACTGTTGGGGACACACATTCCCCTCAGTGTCAGGAATGTGCTGATGGGTCCCAGTGGCTGAAATCCAATCTACAGAGCTGGCGGAGATCTATAAATACCTGCACTGCACTGCTGTGGGTCTGAGGGGTTATCGGTGTCTAGTTCTCTGGATGACGGTGCAGGAAGTTTGCCTGACACAATCCAGCCAATGAGGGTGATCCCCACTGGCCCCCAGAAGGCACCCTGCAACTAAACCGGCCCTGTTGCCCAGGTATGGTTGCTACATTTATACGCCGCACACCAGAATGAGAGCTGAGGGACATTTCCTACAGGAGGGTAAAAAAAAACAATAAAGAAGAGTAGCCCCAAGCAACTGAAGGAAATAGCCACTTAATTAACATGAATTGCTCCCATTCATTTTGAAATGGAGTCTGGCAGCACAAGCTGTGCAGGATGGATTTCACTGTGGGGGAAAATAACTGTAGCACCAAGAGGGGAAAAAAACGATTATGTGGCCTGAACACCACGTTGCTATAACAGTGAAATACACTTGGATTTTAGTAATCTGTAAGTATTTGAGGGGACAGCTATTTTCTCAGCCACCATCCTGTGAGTTTGCACTAGCTGCCTGTTGGGTGGTGGCATTTGTCATGTTGATATAATGTTATATCACTATAACTATTACTGATTTCTAAAGCTCCCCCCCCTCAATGAGGGGGGAAATGGCCACTGTGAGGAAGTGGGGCATGAAAAATATAGCAAAACCAGAGGTCATTTCGGGGGGGATCACGGGGGATCGCAGTTCCCCCGGGTGAGGTACGGGGGGTGGGGCACATGACGAAGCCCCGCCCCCTGCTTCCGGCCACCCCACTTCCGGCCCTCATTCAGCCAGGAGGAGGCAGGAGAAGAGGGAGGGTAAGTTGCTTCCTCCCTGCCTCTCCCCACCCCTGCCTGCCTGGGGCCAGGGAGGGCCTTCGCGGGGCTTCCTAGTGATGTCAGGTGGTGTGGCCTTATGACACACTTCCGGTGATGTCAGGGGGTGTGGCATATGCTAATGAGTTATGCTAATGAGTTCCCCTAGCTCTTTTTCTACGAAATGACCCCTGAGCAAAACCCACCATATGAAAGTAGGGTTGCCAGCCTCAAGGCGGTGGCTGGAGATGTCCCACTATTACAACTGAATTCCAGGCAACAGAGATCAGTTTACGTGGAGGAAATGGCTGCTTTGGAGGTAGGGTTGCCAAGTCTTCTTACCTTGGCAGCGGGGGAGCCTCGCCGGGCTCCAGGAGCTCCTTGGTGGTGTGCACGCACGTCACAGGAAGTGACGTGCTATATGTCGCTCACGTTGAGGGCATGGCCCTGATCATCAGAGGGAAAACCATAGAGTTTTCCCTTTGATGATCTGGGCCATGTCCCCAACGTGAGTGACGTGGCTGCATCACCGGAGTCACCTCTGGTGACGCAACCACGCTGCGCTTCAGGGAGCGGAGTTCCCCCCAGGGCCCGATTCCGTGGGATTCCGTGGCGGCGGAAATCGGGCCTCCGCGGGGGTTTCCCTGCCCCCTCGCCCCCACTTGGCAGCCCTATTTGGAGGGTAGACTCTATGGCATTATACCCAATTGAAGTATCTCCTCTCCCCAAATCCTGCCTTCCTCAGGCTCCACCCCCAAAATCTCCAAGTATTTCCCTGTCCAGAGCTGGCAACACTATATTTTTTCTTCTTCTTTAAACTGTATTTCTTCAGAGTCAACAATGAATGCAACAATGCACTGTGCAGATTATCACTTAAGTTTAATACTACTTATTCTTAGTTTAAATCTAACTTAACTCTAAATTACCTTCCTAAGCTTAACTTTAACTCTCCCTTAAACCTCCCCCAACAATCTAAATCCCTTAAACTTACTCTAAACTAACTCTACCTCTATCTAACTCTCTGTTACTTTAACCTACTTGCAAAGAGCTTTATAAATCAGGTATGGTGTACACCAGACCTGACTGAAGAACCAACTGTCAGTGATAGGTTACCTCACCTACTTCCTGGGAACACCTTTATATCCTACTGTGCAAAGAAGAAGAGAAAAAAACTTATTTTTAAAGCCCAAAGCCCTCCCCCCTCCCGGCCATCACAAAATGCTGTTACATTTAGTGTCATTAAACGATTTCTAACTATCTGTGCGTTTTATACAACCTCCTTGGATCTTGAATAAAGTTCACTTGTTCTTCTTAGTTTCAGTCATTCAATGCCAGTACAGGAATTTTGCTTTCCTTTTGTGGGGTCGTTGGGAATAGTCTTTTCCTCTTAAAAGACTTCTTATCCTCTTGTTCCATAGGAGTTTCCAGGTCTAATATCTGTAGCAAGTCCAGTCCACTTTCTTCATCCCAGGCGAAATAGTGTTTTCCTTGATGAATCATACAAAACTTTCCCAACATTAGCCATTTGTATTTTTGTTTTGCCTCTTGCAGCTTCATAGTCACATTTTTCAGTTGCCTTCTGATTTGAATGGCCTCTCTTGAAATGTCCAAATATACGTGTATCCAGGGGACATTTTGTAGAAAAAGAGGGGCAGGAGCTCATTAGCATAGCTCATTAGCATAACTTATTTGCATATGCCACACCCCCTGACATCACCGGAAGTGTGTCAGAAGGCAACACCCACCTCTCAGGCTCCCCTGGACTGTTTTGGATTGCTAGCTATTGGGGGGGGGGATATGCAGATCTGTCCTCGCAGAGGAGGGAGCGCTTGTACCTGAATAAAACTTGGTCTTAAAGGTGTCACTGGACTGGTTTGGACCGGGGAGGCGGGGGGGGGGCTCTGCAACTTACCTGGCTGCTTCTTGCTCTGATTGAGGGCTGTTGGGAGCAGGGGGTGGGGCTTGTTGCATGTGCCCGCCCCATGGGCTATTTACTGCCGGAGCTCCGCTCCTGTGCGCTCCTGCAGGAAATGACCCCTGTGTGTATCTCATTGTTTTCAAGATTTAGATTCCCAGCCTTTCTTGCTCCTGTATAATTCTTTTCCTGATGCATGGATCTGGGATTGTTATGATGATATCTCTAGGAAATTTCCTTTGGCTGTCACGAGCTGGGCCAGTTCTGTATGCATTTATTATTAAGAGGGGCAAGTTTTCTTCCCTTCTAAGTGCAGTGGAGATCCATTCTGTAATAAAAGTTATTAAATCTTGTTGACCTTCCACTTCTTCAGGGCCCCCCCTTAGCTTAAGATTAGACGGTTTGGCCTCCATTTCTGTAGCTAAAACGTGATCTTTCAAAGATCTTACTTCTTGTTTCAGCCATTTGGTCTCCTCCCCACATGCTGTGCTAATTTCCAGGGCTTTCTCTGTCTGTTGAGTCACCTGCGTCATAGAGAGTTTGATATCGTCCAGCTGGGTTGATTTCGAAGAAATCTTCTCATGCAGACCTTTTCCCATTGATTTTAGATGTTTTAAGAGGTCGTTTTTTATTGTGGAGTCTTCCTGGCCCTCCGTGGAATTTCCTCCGGGTGCCATCTTTGTTGCGTCGCAAGCCGTTTCCTCAAGCGGTCTACCAGCCTCAAAGAAGTCTTTTGTCGGCTTTATGGTCTTCCCCGCGAGCTTGTTTTAAATGCTGTCACCTCTTCCAGTCATTTTTAACTCTCGGAGGTAAGCTTAGCGTTGTTCAGGCCGGGTAGGAGTCAGGCTTGAGGAGTTAAGCGTTCGCCATTATGGAACCCGCCCCCCCCCCGCCCCCTGGCAACACTATATGAAAGCCATGTTGCCACCATGCTGTATTGGCCACTGGGTTGGCATCAGCATACCCTCAGGTGTGGCAGCTGCCATGACCCAGGGCTCCTGGCAGGGCACACTATTGTCTAGCCCCCATGCCGTCCCCCTGCCACCTCACTTGCAAGTGCTCTGCTGCTCATGCTCACAGGTGCATGCACTGCCCAGCACCATCAGAGAAAGGG